AGTGAGGTTGGCCCAGGATCGGACATTGTTTCGTTCTGCTGTGCATGGGGTCGCTATGAGTCGGTTCCGACTCGATGGCACCTGACAACAACAACAAATGAGTCAGAACCGACACTTAAGAACAACAACAACAACAACAACAACAGTAGTTAAATGAGGGCATTTGGTTGTTGTTGTTAAGTGCTGTCATTAGTAAAAGTCAGAAAACGGAATTAATATCTGTACATTTTACTGCTGTTGTTCTAGTGTGCTATCAAGTCAGTTGTGGCTCATAGCAACTTCTGAATGAGGCTGGTGGCTTAGAACTGCTGACCTCGTGGTTAGTGGTCTAGAACCCACACACTATTGGTAAATTATTCCATAATAAATGGAGTCTCACACCGTTCACTTATCCAACATGTTTTCGTTGATGACCTCACTTTAAGTAGCTTTGGAACCATGGAAGAAGTTCTTCATCTCTCACGGATAAAGCTAAGTCTGTTAAACGTAATAATAATAAAGGCCATCGCAGTGGTGTGCTGCAAGGATTATATGAAATGCCTAGCTCAGTACCGGGCACATAATAGGTCTTCAGCAAATGCTAGCCATATTTAAACGTATTTATCTTTTAGCACTGTTTTTGTTGCTAGGTGTCACTGAGTAGGTTTCAACTCAGAGTAAACTTATGTACAACAGAACGAAACACTGCCCAGCCTTACATCACACTCATAATTGGTGTTGTGTTTGAGCCCATTGTTCCTGCCCTGGGGTCAATCCACTTCATTGGGCCTCTTCCTTTTTTCACTGACCTTCTATTTTACCAAGCATGATGTCCTTCTCCATGGACTTGTCCCACCTGACAACATGTTCAAAGAAGGACAGATGAAGTCTTACTATCCTTGCTTCTAAAGAGCATTCTTGACTATACTTCTTTCAAGACAGAATTGCTTGTTTTTCTGACAATTAATTTCAGTAATCTTCACCTACACCATAATTCAAATGCATCCATTTTTCAATCGTCTTCAGCACTTAGACTTGACAGAGGGGAATAACTAGTAGTCACAACAGAAACCATATAACAAAACTATTTTACGTTACTAATATAAAGGAGCTCTGGTAGCGTAGTGGTTACGAATCGGGCTGTGAACCTTAAGGTCAGCGGTTCGAAACTACCAGCAGCTCCGCAGGAGAAAGATGAGGCTTTCTACTCCCGTAAGGATTTACACCCTCGGAAACCGGAAACCCTGTACAGGGTCGCTATGGGTCGGAACCGACTCGACGGCACTTAACAACAACAACAACAATATAAACAGTTACCTTCTTTAGTGATTTCCCCTTTGCTTACCATTTATACAATAGTCTATAACTACTATTGAAAGATAACTTAGCTTCTATCAGTCAAAATCTATTTCAGCCAAGGGCTGTTGATGAAAGTTCTTTGGCTTTAAACTGGTCATTAGCATCTTCTTCAGTCTGCAAAATGCATAATGTCAAACAGCTCTGAACCTATCTCTACGTGCTTTGCTATGAATAGAAACTGATGCACATGATCACAGTGAGTGTTGAAAAATATCTTACTTGAATCAAGTTTTTCTTTACATACTCATTTGTAAAATAATTCAATGGGAAGATCTGTATTCCTAAATATTCCACCGTGTTTCATTTTTACACAAAGTACTTTCTGTGAATGAAACCGTCTGTAGCATCCTAATATATAAAACTAGATCAAAGTAGAGGTACCGCATTGTGATGGAACAATTGCATAGCCTTTCTTACCACAATCTTGTAACTTTCACCAAATGGTTTGGTAGGAATATGCAAATAAACAGCTTGTGGCCAATGAAGGGGATTGGATAGCTGTTTCATAGTGTAAATGTGGTGCAAATAAGAAATATTGGAACTTGGTGTGGTGCTGGACTGCTAACCTCAAAGTCAGTGGTTCAAACCCACCAGCCACTCCTTGGCAACCCTATACAGGGTCACTACGAGTCAGAACTGACTCAACAGCACTTAAAGACAACAATGAAAAGAACGATCTGTTCTGCCGACCCAATGATTTAAAATGAGCAATCCCAGAGGCATAAAGGGTAGGGGTTCACTACCATTAAAAGAAAGAGGCAGGAATGGATACATCCGTTGGACCTGGGGTTGTGGTGCTAAGAACATACTCAATCCAGGAGACAAAGAGAGAAACACAAGAGGTAAGAAGTGGGGGATAAACTGGGAGACCTGCTCCAGAAAGCAAGGTGGACTTCCCAGCACACCTAGTAAATGGATAACTAAGGGTGTGCTGACCCATGGTGAGAGAGGGCTCTGGGTGCCTTTAGGGCAGGAGGCTTCCAGGCAGACTAGGAGGTGGGAGGGTCTTCAAGAATGCATGGAGGACATAGGCATCACCTTTGGGTGGCTGCTGATTCTCTCTCCCCCATGTAAATAAGAAGTCAGATGGCCCTGTTACGCCATTTTTTATACCCATTGTTGTTGTTGTTAAGTGCCATCGAGTCGGTTCCGACTCATAGTGACCCTGTACAGGTGTAAATAGAAAGCCTCATCTTTCTCCCGCGGAGCGACTGGTAGTTTCGAACCACTGACCTTAAGGTTCGCAGCCCGATTCATAATAGTGGTTGAAAAAGAATGGTGTTGTTTCTGTGGTTGTTAAGTGTCCTCAAATTGGTTGGGCTCATCGTGACCCTGTGTAGGGTTTCTGAGCAGTAGTTGGGGTTGAACCGCTGCTGTGGTTAGCAGACCAGTGTTTATCCTACAACGCCATACCAGGACTCCCCAAACTCTTCTCAGCGGCTTCTTCTTTCTTTGTTAAATGTAATACCTTTCATGTACCACCCCCCTCCCCAAAAAAACACAAACAAACAAAAAACCAGTCTAAAATCTTAAGAATGTATTCTATTTCATT